CCTTCCTGGGGGGATTGGTGAGATGTCATAGGAGATCGGGCTTTGATTTGGTCTTAGAAAGCTGGAGATGATGTCCTTCGTGATCTCAAGTTTATGTCTTCCTTTCTGTCATCAAAGAAGTGTAGGTCGTTGGATCATTCACTCATTCCTCCTTTTCTGCCTTTAAGTAAACTTGAAGAGTTTTAATATGGAAAAAGGCTTTCAGTGGACTCTCTCCTTGCTTCACCACCGGATTCTTTCTTACCCATGATGAGATTTCTCCTGTCGTCTTGCTCAGCTCAGTCTTGTGCACCTGGCTTTCTCCCTCTTTTATCTCCTAGATCTGTTTCACTTCTATGGCCCAACAGCCATCAGCCTCCAGCCAAATTTACTCTTTTCCGTTTTCCCCAGCATCTCACAGCTGCGTTTGACACTGTTCATCATTCGCTTGCTAAAATTCTTTTTCATCTAGGCTTCTGAGGCAGTCTTGCTGTTTTCTTACTCTGCTTGATCTTTTGTCATATTATAGGGTGTAAGCACCAAAAAGCTGTCTTTCCCGAACTGCCAACTTTAACAGGCAGAGAAGCTCTGCACTGCATTGTGTGCTTGTTATTTACTTGCTTCCATCCCCATTTACCTTAAGGGGTCCCACAGCCATGGTCCTAGACACACTCTACTTTCCTCACTCCAGCAAACTGGCATTTTTGTTAAATACTTTGATAAAGGTACCTAGCAAATCTCCATATCTATCATGTACCTTTGTTTTATCTTTTATTTTCATAATCCATTTTGTTATCCCCCAAATATTTGCAACAGTCCAACACTAGACTTATTATTGCCTCCTTATTCTTTTAAATCGTTGTGTCCAGATTTCCCTTTGTCTGCATTTCTGACAAGGTCTCATTTTGTTCATTGTCCAGTATATCTGGTCCATTCCCACCTGTCTATTAACGGTTTTCTGTGATGTTGCTGGATCTGCCGCTTCTGTCTCCTCAAGTTCTATAAAATTATAGTTTTTCCCCCTCTATGTCCGGGCTGCTATAGAGGACTTCTGAGTATTGTCCCTCTTTTTGGTCTTACCCCCTCCTCAGCTGTCACCTATAATTTTTGTTGCCAAAAGGTCACTCTTCTGCTTCAGACTATTGATTTATTCCTACCCACTCTGTCAGTTTTCATGACTCTGACCTTTTTGGTTCTTTACTAGTTACACTTTCCCTCATTTTTATTAATCTCTTTCTCAGCCCCAAAGTAAACTTTCCGTTCCAGCCAAATAAATTTACTTGACACCTATAGGTTATCTTTCTCTGCCTTCTGCCCAGCCCGTCTCCAGCCCTCCTGCCCAAGTCGACTTGCTGATTCTCATCTTGCTGACTTCTGGTGAACTATTTCCCATTATAGAATGCTCTCACATTTCCTACCAGACCATGTTTTTTGTGCATTCATTTATTCAGCAAATATTTGTTTACTATTTTTTGTGTGCCAGGCATTTTGCTAGGAATTAGGGATGCCAAATCCTTGCCCTCAGAGAGCTCCATAGGCATGTTGGGGACACAGACAAGTAAATAGGCAGTCACGATGCTGTTTGATTAGTGCCGGTAGAGAAAGTTTTAGAGGCCACAGGGGCATATGTAGAAGGGACATCTTGCTGTGGGAAAGAAGGGGTGTCATGCAGGCATTCCAAAGGCTGTCTTAAATGGAGACTTAAGTTCCTTAGCCGAAGAAAGAAAGAAAACCGGAAGCAAAACTTTATGTGCCAGAAAGCCTTGTATAAGTGGTCCCACCTGGCCTGGTGGGGTCCTCTACTCTGCATTCCTCTTGGCCTTCATGGACGCAGTGTAAATTCTTGAAATTCACATTAGGTTTTCTATGGCTTTTTGAATAATCCTCCTTAAAAAAAAAAAAAAAAAAAAAAAGATTTATTCATTTGAGAGAGCGAAAGAACTGGCGAGGGGGTTCAGAGGGAAGAGAGAGAACCAAGCAGACGCCATGCTGAGTGTGGAGCTTGACATAGGGTTCAATCACACGACCCTAAGGTTGAACCTGAGCCAAAGCCAAGAGTCAGACGCTCAACCAACTGCACCACCTAGGCGCCCCAAAATCCTCTTTTTTGACGGTACATTTTTTTTTCTTCAACTGGATTATAAACTTCTTTCAAGGACCTAGAGCCTGAGTCTCCTTTCTCTCATACTCTGTGCAAAGTGTCCAATGTAAATTCACCAGCAGAGGACACAGTGACCACAGCCTTCTTGGGCCTAGGGTTTTTCAAAATTTTATTCTGTAAGCTTGGTTGTGACTGTCAATTTTGTAGGGTATTTTTATTTGAATCTTGGACACAGTGGAATTTTCTGTTGTGTGTGTTGGAACAAAATGTTCCCACTCGAAGCACTCAGTGAGTTGCCATTGACACCAATAGTATGTACATTTGCCCTTTGGTAGTGAAGTGGAGATGTTGGCGGTGTCAGCTTGGTTTTGAGAGTGTCTCTAAAAAGCTTCTAAAGCTGATTCTTTATAGTAGTAGCCTTGGGAATCAACAACAAGGGTGTCCCAAGTATAGGGCTAAAATAACAAACACATAGTCTGACATGATCATGAACTAGTTCTCATAATTTCCAACTCCATAGTATTCATATTGTAGTACTGCTTTTGGCTTTTACTATGGGCATTTAATTTTCAAAGGAAGGCAGCATTGATGGCTGAGGTTCAGAGGTAATGTTTTCAGGGGCACATTTGTTCTCCATTATATGTTTTCATTTCAGCCCCATATGACAACCCAATCAAATGTGTGAGAAAGTGTTCATAGGCACACAAAGATTGTATATACTATTTAGGGGGTTCCTAGACCCTCTGAATTCACCATCAGCCCTGTGGATCATTGTTGGCTTGTTCTAATAAGGTTCTTACAAAATGATTGTCTTTTCTAAATAGGCCGTCTAACAAAGTTTGATCCCTTTTGTCACTATTCCGGTTCCTTCTGTTTGACATATGCACACTTCTCCAGGCTCACTGCACATCTACTATAAACCACCGTCCTGTACTTCTTCCTTCTCTGGAAACAGTGAATGTATATGTGTTTTTTAGAGAACTGCAGATAGATCAGTTCTGCCCAAGCAGTGGAAAAGCTCTTGTATGCATTAGTGTAGTACATCCATGCAAGTAGGAATTAGAATCTATTCCGTATAGCTGTCACAACCATACTTTTCAGCCTTCGTATTAAAGAAATGTTTCTCAGGTTATAAAGCAACTTATATAACTATAATCCTGTTATTTAAAAATAATGAGCCCCTATATCCGGGTTTATATAAAGTGCTAAAAGAACGTACATCAAAAGGCACGTATGTTCAGGTAACATTGCAGGTGATGGGTCTTTGCTGTGCTACCGTTTGGAGTTTTCTTTATTTGAAAATCTGGGTGGAACAGAGAAAGGAGGTATGAGGCTTCTTACTAAACTGGGTTTCTGGCTTTTTTCTTCTTACATTCCAGTGAGTATGTGAAATGACAATGAGGAGAAGATGGGTTACAAAATAGCTCCAGCATCTCAATCCACGGGTCTGCATTTTTGTTTCAGTTTGAATCCTGATTTCCTTGGAAAAGATAGTTAGTGGTTTGTTTTTTTTTAAGTGCTTTGGAGACAATCAAAATTAAATTCAAATTGTGCCAAGTAAAAATAAAAATATGACATCCTAAGTATCCCATAATAGTGCCCCGTGGGACTTCACAGTTTACAAGAAGACTGTGTATATTAGTTCTTGAGACTCTTAGAAATCAGGGAAGGAAGATGGGTCAACAAATATGCCCATGTGTGATCTATATGCCCAGCTCAGAGCCGTAGCTGAGGTCCCATGGCTTTACTAGGGGATGGGAGTGAGCCTTTATATTTCTAGTTCCTAATTCAGCGTTCTTCCTGGCTCCTCTGCCATGGAGACTTGGGAAAATCGCCTTGGCTCTCTGAGTCCCAGCTTGCATTGTCATAATGTAAACTTATTTCGTGTGTTTATTTCAAGTTTTTACACTTGTTTTCATTTTGCAGAGTTGTGTTGAGAATCAGATTATACGGTGCAGTGGTTCTCAAAGCACAATACCTAGACTAGCACCAGGAGCGTGTCTTGGGAGCTCATTAGAAATGCAAATTCGTAGGCCCACCTCAAACCTGAGTCAGAAACTCTGGGTTTGGCACCCAGCAGTCCATGTTTCGGCAGACCCGCCAGGTGATTCTAGCACACAGTCAAGTTGGAGACCCACCACTGATAATGTGTGAGATAGCAGTTTGAAAAGAACAAAGCATTCTAGAAATTTGAGATGGAAAGCTCTTTTTTTTTTCCTTTTTTTTTTTTTTTAAGATTATTTATTTGACAGACAGAGATCACAAGCAGGCAGAGAGGCAGGCAGAGAGAGAGGAGGAAGCAGGCTCCTTGCTGAGCAGAGAGCCTGACTCGGGGCTTGATCCCAGGACCCTGAGATCATGACCTGAGCCGAAGGCAGCGGCTTAACCCACTGAGCCACCCAGGCGCCCCCTTTTTTAAGATTTAATTTATTGAAGAGAGAGTGAGAGAGAGCATGAGAGCAGGGTGAGGGGCAGAGGTAGAAGCAGACTTCCCGCTGAGGAGGTATCTATCCTGGGACTCTGGAATCATGACCTGAGCCGAAGGCAGACGTTTAACCAACTGAGCCACCCGGTTGTTTTTTGTTTTTTGTTTTGTTTTTTTAAGTTAGTTGAGGTAAAATTTATATGTGGTGAAACCCAAAGATCTTATACAGTTCTGTGAATTTTCACATTATGTGATCATCACACCAGTCGAGACATGGAACTCTTTTATCCTTCTGTAAAGTTCCCTCATCCCTCCGTGGTCTGTCCTCATCCCCACTGGGCAACTGCTGTTCACTGAACAGACTTCATTAGAGGAAGTAAGAGGACATGACAATGATTTGATCACAGAGCAATGGCTATATTCTCTTTTCCCTTTACTACTTATACTTGCCATTTCTTTTTGAATTACTAAGCAGAGTTCTCTCTGTTTTTTCAGCCCATGGATCAAGCTTCTCTCAAAAACAGCGACGTTCTCATTCTGACAGGCCTGACCCAGATCCCCACTGCGAACCCGGATGGCATGGTGGGAGAGTTCTGCAGCAATCTGGGTACGTGGCTGGCTCGCACCGTGAATGGGATGAGGTGTTCTAGGTTTACTTTTTTGATACCTTGCTTCAGTAGTATGTGGTCCTTCCCTTCACAGTCCCACCCACCGATGCCCCCCCAACCCCATTCAAAGCTTTGCTCCCCATCTGCTTCACCCGTCTTGCCTGTCCTTCAAAGCTTGCTGTTGTCAGCAGAAGCAATTCTTAAGCAACATAAATCTGAGGAATGTCAGAATGACTGTTCTAAGAGTCAGTTCAAGTGCTTTATGCAACGGATACTCAACGTTCTCCCACTTGACTTACGTTGAAAATTCTTATTTATTCTTCTTGCTTTGTGGTGGGATTTGGGGACGGGACTGGCATTCACACAAGGTAGCAGCTGTCAAAAAAGGGAAGAATTGCATCTTTGCTTTGCAAATAATAGCACAGAAAAGACTGTAAATGCTTTGCATTCATAACAGCGAGACACTGAAAAGATCATTTTTTTCCACCAATATTTGGTTGGTCTTATTTTTTTCTTTGACAGAAGACTGAATTTGGGGGAGAGACCTGTGGGGTATTTGCTACCTAGAAGAAATACTTGTTTCTTTGGATATAATTGTTAGTAAAATCTAAAAATCCTGCCTTTCTTTATAGAAAAGTATAGGTTGCTTACTGTCTTAGCTTGGGCTGCTGTAACGAAACACCATAGACTGGGTGCCTTGAACAACATTTATTTCTCATAGTTCTGGAGGCCGGAAGTCTGAGATCAGGTTGCCAGCATGTTCAGGCTCTGGTGAGGGCCGTCCTCCTGGCTTGTAGATGCCTACAAGAACTCGGTTGGCAGAGGAAAGCAACTCTCGTGTCGCTTCCTGTTCTTGTAAGGGAACCAGTCCCATCTTTAGAAGCTGTCCCCTCATGGCCTCATCTAAACCCAGTTACCTCTCAAAGCACCCACCCCCCAGTACCATCACATTGGGAGTTATGGCTTCACTATATGAATTTTAGGGGGACACAGACCTTCAGTCCATGACAGTTACCAAAGAGGGGTTACTGAGCTCAGACCGACCACCCCTAGCAACTGTAAGTGCTGTCACCTCTGCTCTGGGGAAAAGAAATGGTCATCATCTTACATTTACGTGAAAGGCAGTATCCTTTGACATTTCATTTGCCCATGCCAATCATCATAGTTTGTTGTTGTTTGCTGATAGTAAACCAGACACAGTTTATTCTTCCTTGAAAAAAATTATTGGGCTTGTCTCCAATAGCATTTTTGATCTGTATGTTTGTTTGTTTATAATCTGGAATCCTAGACTCAGAGAACTTTAGATCTGAAAGGAACCTTAAGCTAATCTACTGTTTTTCAAAGCCCACACTAACTACTTGCCTCAAGATCAGTGGGGCCACTAATTAAAGATGCCGTTTGGAGGCCCTGCCACAGATCTAGTAATTCTAGATTCTAGATCAGATTCTCTGGGGAGAGGAAAGACTCAGAAGAAAAGCTGCATTTTCAACATGATCCCTGGCAATATTCATGTACACTAAAGCTTAAAGACCTCTGGTCTAGTTCAGTCCTCTCATAACCAATCAGGAAACAGGCCCAACCAGATGCTATAGCTTATAACAAAGGCGGGAGTAGAGTCAGGCCTCTGGAGCCCTGACCACTTTCTCTCTCCACGCTACCATACTCTTGTAATGGCAAGTCAACCAGTGCTCGGGGTACAGTGTTTGGGAGAGTGTGTGTGTCAAACATGGGAACGGGGGAGGATCCAATATACCAGTTTGTTTTGGAAACCAAACAAAAAACAAACTTAGAACTTTGATTTTTTTTCTTTTTTAGCCAGGTATAACTTCTAATATGATTATTCCCATAAGTTGCAATTCCCTTATTGGATAACTTGTTTTAAGTATTTAAAGTATGAAGGATTTTCTTACAGATAACACATTAATGAAAGAAAATGCCACTAAAATGAGTCAAACGGAAAAACTTGGCCTATTTCCTTATAGGTCATTCAGCAGTGGTCAGACTGAACAGAGACAAATCCAGCAAAGTTTTGAGCAGGAGCTAAAAAGAGAAGGAGCTTGGAGGGTCTCTCCTGAAGCTTGGCTGCCATTGGTAACCTTTAAAACCCAAACCCTTCACTGCACATCCTGTTCCCAGGGACTGAGATATCCAGTAAAAACCCAGCTGATGGTTAGCCTCTGTATTCTCCCACCCCCTTGCTGTTTCTCAAAAGAAGCAGATCATTATCCATGGGAAATGAATTATATGAACAGAAGTAGGAAAATGAAAGAAATCCAAATAACATTTTTAAAGTTTCCTTCTACCTTTATAAAACTATTCTTCTAATGCCCTTGTTTCCTCTCTGGCTTCAACTTTTCTAGCACTGACAGTCCGGAATGGAGGAAACGTGCTGGTGCCCTGCTACCCTTCTGGCGTGATCTATGACCTCCTGGAATGTCTGTATCAGTACATTGACTCAGCCGGCCTCTCCAATATCCCTTTCTACTTCATCTCCCCTGTGGCCAACAGTTCACTTGAGTTTTCTCAGATTTTTGCTGAATGGTATGTCTGTGTTCTTCTCCATGACTCAATACAAGAATAATAAGAATGAAAATGTAAAAAGTTTTTTTAATTAGAAAAAGAATAGAAATAGGTTTTTTTCCTCACATTATTATGAGACTTTCGTTTTGTTATCTTTCTATGTCTGAGATGTGAAAATTGTATTAATGAAAGCCAAGTCTGTTATATTGCTAGGATGTAGAAGAATAGTTATCAAGGAGAGAAGGATGAAAGACAAAGATTAAACTCAGCCAGCTCTTTCAAAATCAGTGACAAAAATATTATGCATTTATCTTCTCACACGCTACCCTCTGCCTGTTACAAAGTGAAGTGACACATTCTAGAAGCTCAAAAAAAGCCCAAGCTCATGTTGTCTGGAATTTACAACACCAAATCTTATAAGAAAGGCTGGATTTTTTTTTCATTTCAATAGCATGATATTTGACAAAATTAAGTTTTATTACAGTAGGAAATTATTTGATTTAGTCCTAATGTGGGTAAATGATTGTACAGGATGAAATCAGTGAACCCTATTTGAATTATTTAGATGCACGTCTGAATCTAACTCGCCTGGCCAAAAAAAAGGAGGGATGGGAAAATACATTAACTTTTACAGTCTACTGAACAGTACCTTAGAGTGGAGTTTCTAGATGGGGGTATGACACATACTCCGGTGTATTTAATCCATTGTTGTGTGGGAGCCTAATAGACACAGTATTCTACTGAGTTCCTCATGAAAAAGGAATTTGTATGTCATTCTGTCATAACTTGTTCCATGTACTGCCTCCCCCCCTCCACCTTTTAAAAGGGCATTTTTTCCCCTCCCCTTTTAGTTGTAGTCAGGGTCCTTTTTTCTTTCACTCGATTCAGACAAGCTTCTCTACTCCCTGTGTGTGTTATTCATGTTTGTCCTTAGGACTGTCATTTTTATTGGTACCTATGGGATTTTATCCTTTTCTCCCCCAACATAGGAAGTTAATCTTGAATAATTAGCAGTCCACCCTAAGCATCACTTGTGCAGTTAGTCAGCATATACTGAATTTCCTCATCCAGATCTTTAATAAAAAACTCCAGGGGGGTGCCTGGGTGGCTCAGTGGGTTAAAGCCTCTGCCTTCGGCTCAGGTCATGATCCCAAGTTCCTGGGATCGAGCCCCGCATCGGGCTCTCTGCTCTGCGGGGAGCCTGCTTCCCCCTCTCTCTCTGCCTGCCTCTCTGCCTACTTGTGATCTGTCTGTCAAATAAATAAAATCTTTAAAAAAAAAAACTCCAGGGCCAGCCCTGTGAGGCCCAGGGGCTGGTGTGCTCCCCTAGGCTTCCCCTCCCCCACTGTGTGCTGTTCTTATCAGAATATCTAATGGGAGAGAAGGCAGGACCATGAGAATATAGGTCATTTTGTGTTTCTGGATCTTTTTATTTGTTCATTTCTAATACCTGTGTAAACACATTTACTATAGAAAACAGTGTGGGTTACAGAGGAAAAAAACTGAACCCATAAGCCCACTCCAGAAGTAATATTACTGTTGGCAGTTTGATGGATTTTTTTTCTTTCTGTACGGGCGTCATGCTGATTATTTAATTTTGGATCCTGCTTTTAAAAATTTCAATATGATAGTTGAGCATTATAAAATGTTTGAGGGGCACCTGGGTGGCTCAGTGGGTTAAGCCTCTGCCTTTAGCTCAGGTCATGATCCCAGGGTCCTGGGATCAAGCCCCACATCGGGCTCTCTGCTCAGCGGGGAGCCTGCTTCCTCCTCTCTCTCTCTCTCTCTCTGCCTGCCTCTCCACCTCCTTGTGATCTCTGTCAAATAAAAAAATTAAAATCTTAAAAATAAATAAAAAATAAAATGTTCAAAAACATAGTTTTTACATGACTGCATTATTATATCATTTGTACCTTATTTGTATATTGTATAATTTTCTTAACTATTATCTTACTGTTGGACAGACAGGCTTTGCCCAGTTTTTTCCTTTTAGTAATAAATCTTCAATTAATATCATTTTTATGTATAAATGACTGCATCTTCTGCTTAAGTCAGTTACTAAATGTGAAATTACTGGAACAAAGATTATAAATATGTTTTAATGTTCGTTATACAGATCTAAATTGCTTTCCAGAAAGTTTTTTGGCTTCTGTAAATTGTCCCTTTTTTTACATATTTAGAGGTGTTATACTTCTCTTACCAGTTTATCTAAACTCTACTCTTTTGTTATATTTCTGCAGATATTTTTTTCCCCATCTTGGCACTTTGGATTTTAAGGTCTTTGTTTTTTAAATAATAAAGTTATGACTTTGGAATATTTTGGGGTTACAGAAAAGTTGCAGAGAGAGTGCAGAGAACTCCTGTATACCTTCTATTTAGCTTCTGCTAATGTTAACATCTTATGGAGCCATTTACACATGCCAAAACTAAGAAGTGGGGGCACCTGGGTGGCTCAGTGAGTTAAAGCCTCTGCCTTAGGCTCAGGTCATGATCCCAGGGTCCTGGGACCAAGCCCCACATCAGGCTCTCTGCCTGGCGAGGAGCCTGCTTCCTCCTCTCTCTCTGCCTGCCTCTCTGCCTACTTGTGATCTCTGTCTGTCAAAGAAATAAATAAAATCTTAAAAAAAAAAAAAAACTAGGAAGTGGACATTTGCATATTATTATTAGGTGAACTCTAGTCTTTATTCAGATTATAGCAGTTTTTCCACTAATGTCTGTTTTCTGTCCCAGGATCTAGTCCAGAATACCACAAGGCATTTAGTTTTCTGTTTTTGATTCATTTCTTTTTTGTTTTTGACAGAAATACTTTGGTTTTCTATATTGATGCTAACTAATGCAGCATAATATCCATTGCAACAATCTAAGAAACCTTAAATGAAGATCTTAAAATTGTCTCTCTTCCTGAGTTTAAGAGTTTTATCTTCCTGCTTAGAACTATATAATATAAAGTAACCCTCCACAAGTATCTTCCTCCAAAAAAGATATAAAGTGATTTTTTTAATCGACATTAAAGAAAGGGAAGCGTAGGAAAAATTAAATAATAAATTGCACTAATGAAGTTAATATAAAACCCAAACCTTGAAGTCCTAAACTACTCCCTAAAAGTCGTATCTGTTAGAACTGTTGAATACTTTAATACTACTATTTTAGTAGAATTCTCACAAATGGGCACTAACAAACATACATCACTACATATATTTTTTGTAACATTTAAAAATGCCAAAACACCCATGGCTCTTAAGTTATCAGTTGTTAATTTTTGCCACAGTTGCTTTTTTCAGACATTTCCATATTTTAAATGTCAGATCTGGCCGAGAAAGAGCATAGTACCTAAAACATTCACAGTGTCTTCAGAGCTGGGATACTGCATTGCTCTCCAGTTTGAGTTACCAGTGCTGCTTAGTGGGTGTGCAAAACGGCAAGTTGTATGTCTGAAAAAAAGTCTGTCACTTTGTCCTCAAAAGCGATCACAACAAATGCAATAGGAATCTTTGAATTGGATCCTGGAACGGGAAAAGGACATTAGTGGGAAAACTGGTAAAATCCAGACGAAATTGGAATGTAGTTGGTCGTAATACACTAATATTAATTTCTTCATTCCCCACTTGGATCGTGGTTATGTAAGATGTTAACATGAAGGGAACACTATGTATAGGGCACAAGGGAAGTCTGGACTGTCTTTGCAACTTTTCTGTGTAAATCTAAAACTATTCCAAAATGACAAGCTTACTTTTTAAGGCAAAAATGTGTTAAGGAATTTTAACAGTTAAAAAATGCACACAAGGGGCACCTGAGTGGATCCGTAGGTTAAAGCCTCTGCCTTCAGCTCAGGTCATGATCCCAGGGTCCTACGATCGAGCCCCGCATCGGGCTCTCTGCTCAGCAGGGACCCTGCTTCCTCCTCTCTCTCTCTGCCTGCCTCTCTGCCTACTTGTGATCTCTGTCTGTTAAATAAATAAATAAAATCTTTTTAAAATTTTTAAAAATGCACACAAGACATTTATGTTCTGAATACTCTGTAAATGCTGACTTTTAGTCACAGTGAGACTGGCAAGCAGGAAGATTTTAAGTAACCTTTAGTAGTTAGTGTTTGCATTGCTACCACTAGGTGGCAACAGATGCCCTGGGCGCCCTACCTAACAGGCTCTTTTGCTTTTCCTCTTTAAAAGGCTTTGTCACAACAAACAGACTAAGGTGTATCTCCCGGAACCACCTTTTCCTCATGCAGAGGTAAGAAATGGCATTATTGGGTCAGAGCAAGAAAAACTGTAATAGTTCGAGATGGAGATAGGAGGTCAAGAGGTTTTAAAAAATTCTGGGGCACCTGGGTGGCTCAGTCAATTAATTAAGTGTCTGACTCTTAATTTCAGCTCAGGTCATGATCTCAGGGTCATGAGACCTCTCTTTGGGTTCCATGCTGGGCATGAAGCGTGCTTAAGATTCTCTCTCTCCCTCTCTGTCTTCCCCTCTGTCTCCCTCTTTTTATATATATCTCAAAATAAAAAATTTAAAAATCCTTAACAGAAACTCTTATAGCCCTTTGTTTCCCATTTAAGACGACAGAGAAGTACTCTAACTCAAGATTCGCTACTTTCTCTTCTCGTTAACACATTATAGTACCAGTATGTGTCTGCAGTTCATAACTTACCTCTGTTCTTTTGTCCGGGTGAGGAATTTGATCTAACATCTACTGTTAACCTTTTTGCATAATGACAGATTTATTTATTGTCAGTCTTCTTTCCAGTTAGTTATGTTGATCGTAGATGTGATGCTTTAATGATGAAAATAGTAACATTTTAAGTTTTTGGAAAATAAAGGGTCAGAAGGAACAAACTTCCACTTATAAGCCATAGGATGTAGCATATAGTGTGACTGCAGCGAGCACTACTGTGGTCGTGTCTAAATGTTGCTAAGGGAGCAGATATTAGAAGGTCTCATCACAAGAAAAAAAGTTTGTAACCACACATGGTGATGGACTTTAACTAGGCTTACTGTGGTGATTTTTTCACGATAGATCAAATGCTGTACAGCTGAAACTAATACAACATTATATGTCGGTTATACCTGTTTCTTAAAAATGGAAAAATTATACCTTTCTCACAGAACAGATGAGTGTTTTTATATAAGTTTATACCCAGTTTTGTTTTCATTATGTTTTTCACCAAATAGTGTATCATGGACATTTTCTGTGTGCCTCACAGCATAATTATTGCTGCCTCGTACCCCAGAGCGCATCATATGGGCATTCTATAATACAGTTAACCATTCTCTTAACTGTCTGACAAAAGAGTTACGCCCAGTTTTTTTGTTATGTTTTTTAAAAGGTTGTTTACATTGGTATAACCACTTTAGGAAACTGGCAGTTATCTGCTAAAGCTGAACACATAATGTACTCTCTGCCTCAGCAGTTTCATTCCTAATGTATAAACCAAACAGAAATACGTAGGTGTGTCACTAAAAGATGCACAGAAGTCTTGAGAGCTCTCTTAGGGGTAGTTCAGAAATAGACCCAAGTGCCCTCAGCAGTCTGGTGGATTTTGTGGCATGTTCCCACAGTCTACTGTCTTATCCCAATAAGAATGAACAAACTCCCATTACACACAGTCATGTATACAAAGTTCACAGACATGGAGTGAAGTAAGTCAGACATAAGAGAGTAGACACCATGTGATTTTCTTTATATTTAAGTTCAAAAACACACAAAACTCATCTGTGGTATCAGAAGCCAGCACAGTGGTTACCCTGGAGGTAGGTAGTAATTGGAAAAGGGCAAAGGAGGATTTCTGAAAAAATTGCAATGAATATCCTGCTAGCTATTTTAAACTTAACAACTTGTACTATTCTTACTTATTCCTACTCCAGAGGACTTTAACGAACCAGAATCTTACATGGAAAATTCTGAAAAATTCTTTTTTCAGTCCATACACTCTGTTATAGGAGCCAAGGTATCTGCAGGCTCTGCCCTTACCACAGTGAAATTCAGGCTAGAAATATGTAATGTCAGAAAATTAAGTGTGGCAAAACATATTTTGTGGCAGACTTTCCCACTGAAAGTCTGTTTTTCTCCCCCCCCTCCGTCAACAATTAGCCTTTCTTTGTTTTCTAAGGGTGTTGCTATACATTCATACCCACATATGTCACAGATGATCTTTGTCCCATTTACAGTTATGAAAATGAAAAGACCATAGTGGCGTGAACAGGGTTCCTGAAGTGCACTTGCCAACATTAGGGCATGATGGAGTTGACTCTGGGTACTGTGACCAATGCCCATGCCCCCGTGCAGTGCTGCCCTTAGTACTGATAAAAAAAAAAAATTACAGAATTCCTCCCCTGCGGCTTCGTCGCCTGTACGGTGTAGACATTAAAGAAGTGCAGAGGTAGTTCTGGATGGTCACATGTAGCAGGTCAGCTGGAAAGGTAGATCCAGTTGGCAAAAAAAAAAAAAAAAAAGAGAGAGAGAGAGATGAATTTATCTTAGTTCCTATGCATTGATCAGAAGAAAGAACTTCAGGAACTGTAGGTAATGACTAAAAAATGATTTAAGTTATGTGCCAAGACCCACTGCTATTCTTAGAATCCCATTCATCTCCTTGACAGCAATGCATACAGTAGGCTTAGTCTTTTAGACAGCGCTTACCCTTATTTAACTGGGACAGGGAATAATTTTGGCTATAAATCGGTTATAAAAAGAATGTCAGTTTACTCACATACAACTTGGAAGGAAGGTGGGAATTCAGCATTTGCTCCATCTTTGCTATGTATAACCTATCCAACCTTGGATGCCTGATTAGGATCTCTGGGGTAGTGTTGCAGTGCTACTAGTAAAAGCAGTCTCTCTGAATTAAAGGTTAAATCTTTAACATGAAGAGAGTTTGGCTTCCGTTTGGGGATTGTCCCATTGCGGCCACCCGTCAGTATTGGGATGACTTCAGATGGAGTTGGGGTTGTTGACTGGGCTCCCCTCTTATGCATTGTGGCTTACTTCAGGATTAAGTTGTGTTACAGACCATTTCATTATCCATCAGACAATATCTCAGAGCAATACTCCCTTCGCCCTAGCTGGTATTTAGGGCCTCTGAAGTCTGAATGTTTGCCATCTGGCCTTTCATTGCCAGAATGGGGGGCATGGGGGCAGGGCTGGGGCAGCAGGAAGAGCTTCTGAGCCATGTCACCTGTGCCATCTGTGGCTGTAACGGTCTGTGCTGTTGCCTTGGGTTGGGCATGACTTTGGGAGAATAGTGCCAGGTATTGTGCTGGAAGGGAGATTTTTTTGGTTCAAAACAGACACTTTTAAGACAAGTTTGAGGCTGCGCATGGCCCACTTACCACAGCTCTCTGTGTCGTGAGCATGTCATATCTCCTAAATTTCTGAAAGCCAATTTGGCCTTTGTCTTTATTAAGTTGCTGTAGTTACTTTACAGCTGTAACTTCTCAAGAGGTGGTCCTTGGTGGGTAAATAATTTTTCTTGTATGAGATGTTTATTGTTGACAGAACTTGGCGATCCACATGTTTTGGGAAAGTTATTTGTACTTCAAATAACTCATACTGGGAACTTCTGGGGCCAGGGCTCGGGGTGTCAGGAAGCTCTAAAGGAAGACTTAGACTACATCAGGCCTTAACAGCCTGAACAAAAGTATCCCCTGAGTATGGTAATATGAACTAGAAAGTCTCATCTGTCCAGAAAGTCACCTTGTAGATAGAAAATCTCCATTTTCGGCAAATATTAACCAGATTCATGTGTATTTTTAATTTCCTTCTCCCTCTCGCATGCTGTGTGGTTCTTCCCTCCGGCTGCACAGGCTAATGTCTCTTCGTGTGCTTCTCTGTGCATCTTGCAGCTCATTCAGACCAACAAGTTGAAGCACTACCCCAGCCTCCACGGAGACTTCAGCAGTGATTTCCGCCAGCCGTGCGTGGTGTTCACTGGGCACCCCTCCCTCCGGTTTGGGGACGTAGTCCACTTCATGGAGCTCTGGGGGAAATCTAGTCTTAACACTGTCATATTTACAGGTAAACAAAACCTTGCCCTTTCCACTGAGACTGTCACTCAACGCACCAACCAGGTAGAGACCAAGGGACGAATTTTACAGTCAGACCGAAATATGAACAACGCATCTGTCGTAAATACCAAAGGGTGAAGAAACCACGGGGAAAGAGTAAGAATAGAGCAAGATGGACTGTGAGGAAACTACCAGGCAAAGCTTTCATAGCAGTTTTGAGAGATTTTTGCCCGGAGGCAGATTCCTCGTGAACTGCTTTTGCAGTGATTTTGTGTGCTGTTTCAAGAATGTCAAGAATTCTAGGAACCACTCTTTTTTTACCCTTTAGGAATTATTCCCTGAATTGGGTCTTTCACCTCTATAGTTTTCTCTGGCTTACAGTTTTCCTTCTGGAGACAAACCCCTCAGAGTAGAGCAGATCTTTTCATGAGGGCAGGCAGGGGTTTTACCTTAATCACTACGTTATCTTATCAATTTTAGGTCTTCAGTCAGAAATCTTATGGGCAGTGAAGTAAAAAACCTTGATCCAAATCTGGTCCAAAGGACTGTAACTTAAGCCAAGTTACCCCCATGTCTCTGAGCCTCATTCTTCTTCGTTGTCAAATGGGATTATTGCTGGCTCCTTCCTTGAGTATCTCTGTGCATTTAGTATAATGTTAAAAAAGACACTTCATACAGTACCTGGCACATAAAAGCTTTTGAGAAAGTTATCAGTTGACTTCTTTCTCATTGCTTTTAAGACTTGAATGATGGAAGAGAATCTACTCCATCCCCAAGGCTTCAGGATCAAGGACCCCAGGCTCTTCCCTGTGTTCAGCCTGTTGGTGAGAGTGTCAGAGGCCTCCACCACATCACTAGTCAGACAGAGTTGGCTTAATGACTCGATTACAAGTGGTAGGGACGCAAACCATGGGGAAGTACAAGGCATCTCAGAGTATGTTGAACTTAATGGATTTGGGCTTATGTTGGGTGATTTTGAGGTGGGTTCACAGCTGTGGGGCATTGCACTGGATTAGCTGTTGTCAGGAAACAGGAGTGGTTATATTACTGAGTATCTTAATAATTCTTATCTAGAAGGCAAGAAGAATGGAGCTAGGAGAGGATAAGGTTTGCTCATTTTGTGGTTTGAACAGTGTTGTGGTTTTGTGTTCAGGCATGATTACAGAGGGGTTCTTGTTTTTGTCTTGATCCATTGTGCTCACCGAGGGGCCATGTCTGGTGTTAGTGTTCTGTGAAATTGTGTGTGTCCAACAGGAGAGCACCGTGGCCTACCCATGAGTGACAGGCTGTCTCTGGCTAACACCCAGGCCTAGTAGAAAGTGCCCAGAGAACTGGGGCTGCTTCTCTCTTTCCCAGGCCCCCTTTGGCCAAGAGGAAGTCAGGCCACAAGACTTGATTCACGGTACCCAGAAACTCACTGTTGCCAAGTTTTGCTAAGCAGGAGGTGATCTGGAGAGCATTGTCTGTAGTAGGACCAAAGGTGATGTCTCCTATTCTTTTTGAAGAGTTGTTGACCCTGATGCAGTAGTTGATACAATGTTTACATAGGTGCAGTTAGAGGATTGTAGATGTTTGGTAGACATCTACAATGTCTATGGTAGATGTTTTCCTTTAGCCAGTTGGGAAGAAATCAGGGGCTGTGTGATGTCCATAACCATCCTGGATAATGAATTTATATCCCAGCAGGTTTTGAGGGGCTTTCAGAACGGCAGTTAGGTCATTTGTGAGGTTAGGTAGTGTCAGAGAAGCATCTCAGACCACTATTTCGGGTCATATTACAGCTATGGCACAGTTGAAGCTTACTTAGTCCACGTCAAAAAGGAGTCTGTCATCCCAGATGCTTGCCTCCTTTGGGGGTATTCTTCTTGGGGAAAAAGGAGCCACTGGAGGGGGAGTAATTTAAAAATCTGGAAGTTCCATCAGTTTTCCCAAATGCACTGGATAAGTTAGTGGGACAGGTGAGTAAAAGCCTGAAGGCTGTAAGAAGGGATGTCCTCGTGGGGCCACAGGCTGTTGGGAATCTAAGTATTATTTTTCACACCAGAAATGTGCCAGTTCTTCTGGCTCAGGGTGGTCGGCCTCCTTGAGTGGGTAGACTGTCCCTCCAAGCAGCCTGCAGGGAATGCTGCTGGAGGGAACAGATGGGCCATTAGGGCAGATGTGGTTCCCAGTCATGCTGTCACTGGCTTTGCTGATGGGAGCACAGCAGCGGCAGCAGAAGCGTCTGGTGACGTGGAGCCAGGGTCCTTTTCTTTTCCTCTTGCGGCATCCTCTCAAGTAGGTGTGGTGTGGTTTTTCTCATACCTGCGTGTTAACTCTGAGCACTCGATTCGAGTGGCCTGCACCAGATTTCCCCACTGTGAGGTCACTGTTTTATATGTAATAATTATCTTGGGGAGCTGGGGGAGGGACTTCCCCAAACTTTTCTCTAATTTTTTTAGCATCTATTGATGATCCTAGTCAGAAAAAAATTATTACTGTGATGGTTGCCAAATGACGATTTTTTTTTTTTTTACCTTCACTGTTCCTGTTACATTTATTTGGCATTCTGTCGTAAAGAGGTTTTCTTCCTCCCCCATTTACTTATTTAACCCTTTTTTATCTCCTCAGTCTCTCCATGTTGAAAGCCTTGAGCTCACACCCATACCTCCAATTCTACATGTACTCGGTACTATTCACTCTGGCCTCTCCTTGCCCTTATTTGTAGATTCCTCCTCCCCAGTGATAAGGAGTCTGGTCCCCCCAGCCTCCGACACATACACTGCCTCACCCTCCCACCGGTGCAGCCATCTGCCCACCCTTGACCACACCAGCCGCCTCCTCACATGGCAGCAGCTCTGTTGTGTGCATCTCAAATTTTGGTTCTTGTGCTCTCATTAGAACCCGATTTCTCCTACCTGGAAGCACTGGCTCCCTACCAGCCCTTGGCCATGAAATGTATTTACTGCCCCATTGATACACGGCTGAACTTCATCCAGGTGTCCAAGCTGCTTAAAGAAGTCCAGGTAAAGGGGCGCCTGGGTGGCTCAGTGGGTTAAGCCTCTGCCTTCGGCTCAGGTCATTATCTCAGGGTCCTGGGATCGAGCCCCACATTGGGCTCTCTGCTCAGCGGGGAGCCTGCTTCCTCCTCTCTCTCTCTCTGCCTGCCTCTCTGCATACTTGAGGTCTCTGTCTGTCAAATAAATAAATAAATAAATAAATAAAGTCCAGGTAAGGAAGGGAAGTGCAGTATCTCCGCAGCCCTGTCACCGCTGGGGAGTTCGCGGGCTACAGGCAGAGGGCCGGCTGCATTTTTCACCTCGCTCACTTCCCATGTGTCCACAGCATGCTGATGCATGCGCCTTAGTTACCCTTCACAGTACTGAGCTTTACACCTGGAAAGTCCTTTCCGTTCTAAAGAAATCAAAAGTGGAAGGAAAAGAAAGCATAAACAATCTATTATTTTTGATGATAGTTAAAAGTTAATTGTTAATGGTTAAAAGCAAATTGCCCCCTCTCCCACCAGAAAAGTTATTCTGGAAACCTACTCATTGAGCCAAAAGACAGTTTAGCTGAAACCTGGGCTGGGCCCTGGGGCACATGTGGATGAGCAGCACACACAGAGTTACTCTGCTTTTTTAATGAGAGGTTTCTTTTGGTTTGGTTTTTGTTGCATTTGTTTTTTTCCTTTTGCACTTTCTGCCATAGGAGAAAGCCAGAAGTAGTTGGGTAAAGGGGTGGGTGAAAGGAAGGCCATCTGCACAGCAGGAGAATGGAGAGGGAGAGTGGGGCATAGAAGTCACCCCACTGGGCAGCACATCTGACAGTGGGCAGGGGGAGGCTGCTTGGGAATGGCCTGGGAGCGAGGCCAGAGGAAGAGTTTTCATTCCCCATTGCTTTGGGAGCTCAAATGAGCACCATGGGGCCCTGGCACGTCTCAGGTCAGAAGTGTGTTTTTCTCCTCCGAAAGTTTTTGACCTCGGGATGGGAGGCAGTAACACAGAACTCTGAGGAAGGCTAGTGAGGAATGGGAAACTCAGGCGCCTCAGGAATGCAGAGAACATGGCTGACGGTGATGGCTCACTTGCTGGCCCCACAGGAGGGAAGATGGGCTTTCTCTAGACATGATTTCAGCAGTAGATGAGCTGGGGCGGGTTGGGCGACTCGCTCCCCCACCGTGTACGTATCGGCATATGGGCAGACATGGTTAAGAGTCTGTTGTTTTCATCACTAACTCTTCCCTACAGCAGTGCTGTGCTCTGTGCTCATGGAGTCCTGGCAGCACAGGACAGTGGGGACAGGAGGCTACCTGATCTCCCCTATGGGAGGGGGAAATCCGGCTGGAGGCCTCAGGCTGGGACCGTGCAGTCAGGTGACTCTGAGAGGAGTTACAGGATACCACCCAGGTCAGGAAGAGGACAAGTCTGAGCCCAACAGAACAAGCGCTCGTTTGAATGCATCTGGTGGGCTTGCTGGAAGGCCTCCCTCCAGGAACTGGAGGTGAGCGGTGAGCTCCAGGCTCTTCAGTAAAAGCAGTGGCAGTACAATAACTCAGGGCCCCTGGGATCAGTTTTCAGTTGTGTGGTGTTTGTCCCAAGTAGACGCTGGTTTACTACTTCTGTCTCTCAAAATAACAAAGAGGGACATTTTATAAACAAGCTCTGAGTCAGTCTGTTCTACACAATTGAGAATGTGACCTGAGCAGTGCCCACTGCCAAAAACGAGCAGACCTGCCGATACTGGAAAAAAGCCCAACCCCAGAACACCAGACTAGCACGACAGTCAGCAGTTCCTGCCCACTGGCCTCCAGCTGTCCCCACCAGTCAGTGATGGTAGGTGTGATGAGAAGACTATGCCCTCCAGGGCTTAAGGACCAGCTGAGAGCAGACCCCTGGAAGTCACTGTCAAAGTGACTTAAAAAGAATCAAAAACAAATGCAGATAGAGGCAGTGGGTCCCCACTAGTCCACTTGGCTAGCAGTTGAGGGCTCTGCCTTGAAATTTTTATTCTTTCCCCGCACTGCACTCACCTCTCCTGCTTCTCATTACTCGGGTTTGAGAGGAGGAGAGAGAGGTCAGATGGCCCGAAAGTGGTGAGGCTGAGCATGCGTGTTCGAGGCCTCACCCCACCCCGTCCCCTGGGTTCCAGCCGCTCCACGTGGTGTGCCCCGAGCAGTACACGCAGCCACCACCCGCGCAGTCCCACCGGATGGACCTGATGATCGACTGCCAGCCGCCCCCCATGTCGTACCGGCGAGCCGAGGTCCTCGCCTTGCCTTTCAAGCGTCGCTACGAGAAGATCGAAATCATGCCAGAGGTGAGCTATTCTCTCTCTCACGGTCAAACCCAGGCTTTCCACGTGAGTCTCAGAAAGAGGACTGTCCCAGAAGTGGCTGTTTTCTGGCCAAAGAATGCAGATCCTTAAGTGAGAACCTGGGAACGGAGCCTTCCCAGGGATCTCTGGGATCTTCAGAGCCTTCTCATTTTTTGGGTAGTGAAGTAACTGCTATTTACATCACAAGTGCATCATAACTGTGCCTTCAGGGATAGGTACTTGTGATTTCTGCCCTTTCTGTAGTATAAATCATGCTATAGTACACGCAGTACAGGCATGTAGTATAAATCAGAACCATCCGTTTACAGAAATCTTTGTCCATGTGTGGAATATAGAGAGCTAAAAGCATCATTGAGTTTCGCCGGGAGAGGCCTGCATGAGATGCAGGGGTTAAAAGTCTGTCACCATTCTTCAGGTTCCGCTACTACTAAAGGATGCTTATTTCCACCCCAAATGAGAGTGTGTCCTCTGCAGCTTCCTCCTAATCCTCCTCCTCTGTCGCCGTATGTGCAGGATGGGAGACCTGATGTGCCAGCCCTGGTGGATGCATTCTGGTGGGAAAACTCTGGTCTTTGGCGGCAAGGGACACGTCTCCAGATCGCAGATGTGTGAACTGAGTGGTGGTTGTTGTGGGCTCCGGGTATACGTCCCTCATGGCACAACAGAGTCTTAGATTTTGCTCACGGGGCTGCCACGGTTCCCACGATGCCATCCCCAAACCTCCCAGACAAGTGCCACCAGGCAGCCTGACCTGTGGGGAGAGTAAGTGCGGTGTAGGAAGGAAAAGGCATTGTCGGGAACCCTGAGCAGACATGGGTCTCCCCAGGGGGAGCATTTCACACTCGTGCCGTGTGTGTTTCCTTATTTCATGAAGCAGTTCTCATTCCTTTTAAATATCCTAAGCGACTTCCTTTGTCCATGGGATATTGATCTTCATATTTACGTAAATGGCATTTTGCATATTTATTCACTTTTGTTTTTACATAAAGGAGACTTGGACAGCCCAGGGTCTACATGTGTCAGAGCAATAGTAAACTAAACCCAGGAGCGAGGGCTTCTCACTGGATCACACACCACTGCCGGTAGTGGAGTCGGGGAGCTCCAGAGCGTCAGACTCAGATGGTAGGGAAAGACATGGCCCCCGAGGTAAAGGCTGGGTGTTCCACTTTGGGAGAAGTCAGATTTCCAGGAATTAGCTCACTCAGTCCAAATGCTGCTGTCCCTGTCCTTCCTGCCTGACTAGTCACCTAGTGGTTATGAGGACAGAGGCAGAGGCCAGCGTGGAAAGTCAGCACCTGCTAGGTATTCTGAGTAAGAAGAAGCCCTTAGCAGTTTCCAAGAGATCCTACACAAGTGTCAGGAGTGGTCTGGAAGCCACCTAAAAGGCGGGTTGTGGCGGTTCAGGTGATGAGCCCGTGGCAGGATGTTGGCGGTGCATAATTTGGGGATTGACTAACAAAAGGGCAAAGCAGAAGGGTCAGCACCCTGGGGTCCCAGTGTGTGATGGCACAGGCTTACACGAGGTACCTGCTGAGAGTTGTGGGCCACCGCCAGGAAGAGCGCCCCCAAACAGGCTCGGGCTCATTCTCCTCCTCTTCTCAGCCCAGTTTACCCGCCACCGCCACCCCCCTTCTCTCTGTTTCTCTTACCTCCATTCTTTCTTGTGATCGATGTATATATTTGTATATGTGATATATTTTTGATTGAAGGTATTTTTAAGTTTTTTAACCTTCTTACTTCCTTAAAATTATGTGTTATTTTAGACTGCAATGATATAAACAAAAGATAAAGTGAGGGGGGAAAAAGTGCGGAATGGCGGTCACAAAGACTCAGCTTCCCTGCGCCATACGCCGCACCTTTCCCTCCAGGCTGGCAGGGGTGCGGCGCTGCGAGCGAGCTGGTGGCTGGGGAAAGCTGGCCGTGGCCGTCACCGGCCATCCGTGAGCTCAGTGTGGCCTCCTGGTCCTGACTTGGGATGGCGCAGCTGCAGCACCTCGTCCCTCACATGTAGGGGAGCCCAGCTGACACCCGTTTGCTTCCAGCTCGCAGATGCGCTGGTGCCCATGGAGATTAAACCTGGCATTTCCTTGGCGACCGTCTCGGCTGTGCTGCACACGAAAGATAACAAGCACGTCCTTCAGGTATGGGGGCAGGTGGGCTGGGCTTGCACCCCCGAGTTGCCACTGGGGCCTGTGAAGATGAGGAACCCCCCAGGCCGCCCCCATCAGTGGTCCTAGCACTCCCACCAGCACAAGTCAGAGACCAGACTCTTAATGGATTGGATTGAAACAGAGAGGACATTGATATAAATTCTTCCCTACTTATCTCTCTGGCCACATGCCTCAGAGAGAGAAGCGGGAAGAGCAGCTATTATTCATGGAGCTGGGGCCGCACCGCATCCTAAGTGCCTTTCCCGGCTCCCAAGGACTGGCGTCCCTCAGCGCGCCTGCGGGCGCCTTTGCTAGACCCGCAGTGCGGAGTGCGGGCGGGGGGAGCCCCCAGAGCAGCAGGGAAACCCACCCCCAGGGGAGGCCTCCCTACAGAACACGCCTGCAGAAGCGGGCAGTGGCTGGGCACCTGTGAGCCACGGGCCGCAGTGCCTTGTCCCCGGCACCTCGTGCCCCAGTTCACCGTGTGTTTACTGCCTCACGGCATGGCTCTGTGAGCCCTTGTCCTCACCCCCCTTCTCGAGAAAGACTCCTTTCAGACTTGGACCGTGCAGCCACATAAAACATGCGAGCTCCTTGCCGTGAGCATTTCTCACCTTCCCACATCATCCTCACCAGACTCGGTTACCGCCGCTCTGTAGGCAGTTTCTCTGACCTTTTACCCCGTCAGTCTGGGTTAATCCCCCACGGCGGGTGGCCCCCGCCACCGCACTACTGCTACCCCAGCAGCTGCCAGCACAGCTTCTCATTTGAAGAATTTACTTGAAAAATACTGAAGTGAATCCTTTAAAACTTAAAAATGAGTCTTGATCAAAGGAAGATCTCTGCCAAAAGAGTCCCAGTGCTGTGTGGATACTTGGCGTTAGCTTATGTTGGGAGAGCCCCGGCTGGCGCAGAGCCCTGGGTGGGACTGACAGACAGGCTCCTGCTGTGGCCCCACACCGGCCTCCGCGCTCTCGGTGCTTGACGAGACCCGCCCCGCGTCCCGCTCTAGCCCCCACCCAGGCCGGCCCAGCCCAGCGGCGGTAAGAAGAGAAAGCGGGCGAGTGAGGATATCCCAGACTGCAAAGTGCTGAAGCCCCTGCTGAGCGGCTCAATCCCCGTGGAGCAGTTTGTGCAGACGCTGGAGAAGGTGAGCGCGGCCTCCCCGCTCTTCGCTCGCCTCAAAGAACGCCATGTCGCTGCTTTTTTCTCCAGCTACACGTTCTGAGCTGCTGTCCCTGTAGCATCTGCTTGAGTCAGGGTCAGGGCAGAAAACAGAACCGGGGGAGGGTGCCGGAGAGTTGGGAGAAGACCATGCTCTTCTTCCCTGTAGGTCCCCCCATTTCTTCTCTGCCAGCCCCTTCCTGTCAGACTCAGGCCACAAGAAGACTACCTCACCACACTCCGTTTCTTGTGGGAACTAGACCAAGGGAGCCCTTCAGAAACTTAGATGCGACCGATGGGTGAGGTGGGGAAGGCCAGATAAAGGAAACTTTGTAAGTCTGCTCCTTAGAGACTTACTTTTCAAGAAGCCCCTTGCTGATCAGAGCGCCAGCATGGATGCTGGCCGTGTCACAAGAGACGAGAGGCTCATACTGGGGGGGTGGTGAGGGCAGAGGCACCCATGTGTCCAGGTCCCTGGGAGAGGGAGAAGCAGGGCCAGCAACTCCCAAATGGGCGGGAAGAGAGGGAAGAAGTCGGCGGTCCTCAGGAGGACCCTGGCCCTTCCCCGAATCAGCAGCCAGCCATCAGTGGTTTAATTTTTTCCCTGAAGGGAAGACCGTGGCCAAGTTGTGCAGCCCTGCTAGCCCCTGAGGGTGGGGGCACTGCGTGGGAATGAGCCTGGGAGTGTCCCTCTATGATGCAGTGAACACAGCAGTAACTGCTTCCTCCCGACCTTGTGCTCCTCCGGCCCCTATTGGTAGGACTCCACTTGACCTGTTTTTTTAAAAGCTTGAAACAGCTTCCTTTCCCAGAAGCACCTTCACTTAGTTCTGCCTGGCTCGTGTAGAACTTGACCCTTAGGATCTGCCCCAACCTGCACATGAGCTTTCTGGAACTAAGGGGAGAGATTCTCCCTAGCCCATATTCTTTACCTATCCTGTGTCCCTTTCAGGCAAATCAGTGTTATTTCTCCTTTTCCTCTTCTCAACTTTATGTGTGATATGTAAGAAAATTCTATAACTCACATTAAGGTAGTTAAAGAAGGATTTGCTGTCCTGCCTTGTCTCATTCTCCCTTGAGAAGGATTTGCCAGATCACAAGGCCATTGATATCTTGCGTTTAGGAATGGCATTTTTCTGGGATGGGGTGAAGCTTTTTTTTAATCAGGAACCTTTGGCTGGTGATGGATAACCCAGCGCCCAGACTCCTGAACCCAGGCGCTTGGATGTGCTCCTCAGATAACTCAAAAGCTTAAGCAGGTTACAGAAATTTTGTTGTGTTTTGCATGAGAATTGGCATGTTTGAAGGCTTCTTTTAAAGTGTACGAAGCTGTTCTTTAATTCTGTTGCTGTAGGAGATCTTGTGACAAGTCTGAAGAATTGTATTGGGGAGCATCAAAAATGACAGTTTCTAGAATGTTCAGTTTGGCCAAGCCTAGGAAGTATCCTTTCTTAAAACCACCAGTTGCTGCAATATCCTCTGTCTTTTAGTCAGCCTCTTGCTTTCAGAGTATCCATCATCTGCTTTCTCTTCTTCTTTTGGAGCAGCATGGCTTCAGCGATATTAAGGTGGAAGACACAGCAAAGGGCCATATTGTCCTGCTCCAGGAAGCCGAGACACTCATCCAGATTGAGGAAGATTCGACTCATATCATTTGTGATAATGATGAGATGCTCAGGGTACGACTACGGGACCTCGTTCTCAAATTCCTACAGAAGTTCTAAGGGGAACATCTAAGCCATTTCTACTTCACCGAAACCCTGCAGTCCTCTGCCGGGGCTGCCGGCACAGACTGAGGAAGAGCATGAAAGGTTGGCTGTGACTTGGTGGTGTTCTCTGGCTTAAGGAATAAAGAAGTAGACCTTGAGGGACCTGATTGTCAGCAGTTACAGCTAGAAGCTCCTGTGCTGGATTTCCACTCTGTTTTGGGCAAGAACTTTTGCTTTAAACTTGAACTCATTCTCTTCCCAATTTTGCCTTTCTTGGGTGGCCAGGATGGCAAGGCAGCAAGCTAAAAAATAACGTAAGTGGAACAGATGCAGTTTCCAAGAGGTTAATGGTGGAAGGGGAGGTAAAAAATGACTGACTTAGCAGTCTTCATTTTTCATGGTTTCATAGGCCTTGGGCAGGAGGAACAAATCTTTGCTTGTGTTTTATTTGTCTACAGTGCTACACCTAAGAAGAAAGATGATTTAAAAAATTTTTGGTATAATGAACCATCTATATGTATTTTATACTGTGAGCCCATTTTGTTAATAAAACTTATTTTTTATAGAAGTACATGTGCTCTGTTGAAACTAGAATGTACACATTGATTTAGTATCTGAAAAAATAACTATACAGAACAGCATAAATTGAGAAAATAACCATAATGGAGCACCTGGGTGGCTCAGTTGGTTAAGCGTCTGCCTTCGGCTCAGGTCATGGTGCCAGGGTCCTGGGATCAAGCCCCACATCGGGCTTCCTGCTCAGCGGGGAGCCTGCTTCTTGCTCTCCCACGCCCCCTGCTTATGTTCCCTCTCTCGGTGTGTCTCTCTCTGTCAAATAAATAAAAAAAAATACCATAGCAAATTTTAGTTTGGTGTGTGCAAGCATATAACCCATTATTTAGAAAACTCAGATATATGTTTCTTAAATTGTATGAAAAGTTGCCTAACTTTATCTGAGCTGTGTCTGTATTAAAAAACAACACAGGGGCACTTGGGTGGCTCAGTCTCTTAGGCATCCAGTGCTTGATTTTGGCTCAGGTCATGATCTCAGCACCCTGAGATGTAGCCCTTTGTTGGGTTCCATGCTCAGCACAGAGTCTGTGTGTCCCTCTCCCTTCCCCCACCCCATCCCTGCTTGTGCGCTCTCAAATAAACATATAAATAAAATGTTTAAAAAAAAAAAACACCAGCACAGATTGGTCACAGCAGCCTTAACCTTTGGGGGAAAGATCCAGAACACACAGCCCAGGCTCCATTAGTTAATCCATGCTCACCGCAGCCCTTGCCACAGATGATCAGGATTCTCTGCATTAAGCAGGGCATTAAACTCAGATACCCATAGACCCTTATAATAATAGTAAGCTACTACATTTACAATAATGCTGCTGCTTAACTGCTTAACACAGATGTTTACCTCATCTAAGATAGCATCAGTTGTAACGCATGTGCCGATTTTGCAAGTATTATCATTGGAAGAAGGGGGATAAAGAGCACAGGTCTTAGAATTGGTCAACTGTAGAAGTAGGCCCAGTTTAACCTGCTCCTACGATCTCTCTAGACTGGTTGAAATTTACTCAGTAATCAGTCCTCCAACTTGGCCAGCAGCTGTGCATCCCTAAGGGATTTAGTGACCCAAGAACCACGTACACTTCTGTTACTGGCTCAGGTTTTAGAGAGAGTTGACAGACTATCCGTTCTCTCTCTGGAGTGACCCTGCCAATGGAGGAATTCTTCATGAGGAGGAAAACAAGCAGCTTCCCTTGACAGGCGCGGGCACAGGAATGCTCAGCTTTGACAGGCCTCTGTGGTCTATGGTACGGGTCATTCCAACCAATCAGGGGGCCTAAGATGCATCTTAGGGGGACCTGTAGCCTTGGATGGGGACTGACGTTACAGGAGATTGGTTGCTATGAAAGCTTACCTGTGTTTTTAGGAGGAGACTGTAAATATGCAGCACATGTAGAAGACCTCCTGACAAAACTTTTGTGAGAAATCAAGTTAAATTTCAAGGATCTTTTTAAAATGTGAAAGCAGTATAAACTCAAGAAAATGAAAATGCTTATTTTACTTGGATTTGTTCAAGTTTGATTTCTATTAAAGGGCTTGCTCAGAGAGCCCAAAGCATTGATCCCTTGAGAGGTGATTACCAAAGAAACAAACAGTATATAAGTGCAAATCAGTCTGTAAACTGACAAGCCAGTAATAACTTAGAAATTCTGAAAACTGTAATCAAGTCGCCACCACCTACTGAGTGGCAGAAGCCAGAGAGGCAGAAAGAAGCAAAGAATCATTTGTTAGAGCGGAGAGAAAATCTAGAGCTGGAGCAGTTGCGAATAACTGCCTAGAGTGCAGAGATTTGGATATTAAACTAGGTTGGTTAGTAGAAGATCCACAAGGAACAACAGAACCTGCCTTCCCACGCCATGATTATACTGACGGGGGCTCTATTGGAAATAGCGCACTGACTATTGACAATGACCTGGTGAAGAGTTGGACATGTAGAACAATTTCTACTCAAGCCCAACAAAATCCTAATGATGAAATAGTCATTGAAAAACCATTACTAGTGAAGAGGAACCTATTTTTATTATTTCTTTAAATCTAAGAAGTGGTGTGTTTATTATTGTGTAACAAATTACTCCAAAACTCAGTGGCTTAAAGCAGCATTCATCTCACCATTTCTGTGGGTCAGGAATCTGGTGTGGCCTGGCTGGACACTCCTCCCTCAGGGTTGTCTCTCCACAGGGCTACAAATAAGATGTTGGATGGGGAAACTGAGGTACAGAGATTAAGCAGCTTTCCCCGGAACATAGCCAATAGGTGGTATCTGCCTTACCATAATGTCACATGTTGGTATCAGGAGCAGGAGCAGGCCTGGAAGCAGGGGCATCCCTGTTAGTCCACTTCTTTTCAAGTAAAGGTAACAGCTACTGCTCTTCTAATCCCTTGGGAGCTTGAAAGCTTGTGGACTTCACAGCTGTCCTACACAGGCAGGAGTTGGCTCTTCCAAACTACCGTGAAGTAGTAACAGAAACAAGAGTGAAGAAGCCTCCAAAGCTGTCTGATGATAACATTCCTGTGAGCAAGCAAACAGGTGGATACGAAAAGGAGACACTTCTCTCTGGCCCCGAGTCCAGTTTTCCGCTGCGGCCATAAGGAGAGTTGAATATTGTCTCATCATTTCGTGCCACATTGTGGGTAGGTAGGAAGCATATGATGTTCTCAAATTCACTGCAGTGAACTATGGGTAAACAATAATCCTCTTCTTTAAACCCAGAATGATGTTAGAAATAAACAACTACAACTCCAGAGGAAGTGGCAAATAAAACCTAGAGACGGGCCCTGTAGAACTTGGCCAAAAATGTCTAATCTCACCAGAGGCTAGAGCCAACATCAATCATGAGTGTATTTACTAAAGATTAAATACCACAGTCTCTGCTGCTGCTTGGCAGTGCCTTATAGTTTTTAGTTGCATCATAAAAACAGTATTTTCCCATCTATAGATTCAATGAAATCCTTAGCAAAATTCCAATGACATTTTTCACAGAAATAGAAAAAAAAAGAAACACCTAAAATTTGTGTGGAACCACAAAAGACCCTGAATATTCAGCCAAAGTAATCTCGAAAAAGAACAAAGCTGGAGGCATCATAGTTCCTGATGTCAAGCTTTATTACAAAGCTATTGTAATCAAGACAGTATGGTCCTGGCATAAAAATAGACACATAAACCAATGGTACAGAGAGCCCAGAAATAAACCCACACTTAAACAGTCAACTAATATTTGATAAGGGAGCCAAGAATACTCCTTGGGAAAAGAGTAGTCTTTTTAATAAATGGGAAACTATAACCACATACAGAAGAATGAAATTGAGCTGCTATCTTACACCACTCAATAATTAACTTGAAAAGTATTAAAGCTTTAAATTTGAGGCCCAAAATTACTAGAAGAAAACGTAGGAAGTAAGCTGCTTGACACTGGCCTTGGCAATAATTTTTCGGATAGGACATCAAGCGCAAGCAACAAAAGCAAACATCAACAAGTAGAACTACATCAAACTGAAAAGAGTTCTGCACAGCAAAGGAGACTCTCAACAAAAGTAAAGGCAGCCTACTGAATGGAAGAAAATACTTGCAAACCATCTATATGATAAGTAATTAATACCCAAAATATATAAAGGACTCGTATAACTCAACAGCAAAACAAACAAAACCAATTTGATTTAAAAATGGGCAAAGGACTTGAATAGACATTTTTCCAGAGGAGACATAGAAATGGCCATCAGATGCATGACGGGGTGCTCAACATCACTGTCAGGAAAATGTAAACGTTCAAAACTACAATGAGACACCACCTCACACCTGTCAGAACAGCTATCCTCAGAAAGACAAGAAATAAGTATCGGCGAGGATGTGGAGAAAGGGGAACCCTCGTGCGCTGCTGGTACAAATGTAAACTGGTGCCACCACTGTGGAAAAACAGTATGAGGTACCTCAAAAAACTGAAAATACAGTGTGATCCGGCATTCCACTTCTAGACATAGAAACCAAGGAAATGAAGTCATTCAGATACGGGCAGCCTGAGTGTCCACTGATGGATGAATGGATAAAGAAAATGGACACACACACACACAATACGGGATATTATTCAGCCATTAAACACACACACACACACACACACACAGAAATTCTGCCTTTTACAACAACATGGATGGACCCTGAGGGCTGTATGTGAAATAAGTCCAAGAAAGACAAACACTGTCCAGCCACACCTCATGTTGCGCTTCGCAGATACTGCTGTTTGGACAAGCTGAAGTTTCCAGACTTGAGTGGAGGAAGTGACTGCAGGCGTGGTGGCAACAGCAAGAGAACTAGACTTAGAAGTGGAGCCTGAAGATGGGACTGGGCTGCCGCAAGCTCATGATCAAACTTGAACAGGTGAGGAGTTGCTTCTCACACGTGAGCTAAGTGGTTTGTTAAGATGGAACCTACTGGTGAGGATGCAGGGAAAACTGTTGAAATGACAGCAAGGAATTGAGCATATTACAGACACTTGGTTGATAAAGCAGCAGGAGGGTGTGAGAGGAGTGATTCCAGTTTTGAAAAGTTCTGTGGGTAAAATGCTATCAAACCGCATCACGAGCTGCAGAGAAGTCATGAGAGGAAGAGTCAGCTAATGTGGCGAACCTCACTGTTGTCTTACTTTGAGAAATTGCTGCGGCCGCCCCAGCTTTCGACACCCGCACCCTGATCATCAGCAGCCACCGGCGTCAAGACAAGACCCTCCAGCAGCTAAACGATTACACCTAGCTAAAAGCTCAGATGATGGTCAGCATTTTTTATCAGGGAGGTATTTTTAAATTAAGGTATGTATTTTCTTGTGCACTTAATAGATGACACTATAGGCATAACTTTGATATGCCCTAGGAAACCAAACACCTGATTTGACTCGCTGTTGCGATATTCTCCTTACTGCAGTGGCCTGGAACTGAACCCGCAGTATCTCCAAGGTATTCCCGTCTGTTCTCACTCTATGTGGAATCTAAAAAATGCAAACTCAAATAGTAGATTAGTGCTTGCCAGAGCTGGGAGGTGAGGGCATTGGGAGATGTTGGTCTAAGGGTACAAACTTCAGCTATAAGATGAGTAAGTTCTGGGGCCCTGATAGATGTATAGCATGGTGACCA